CCCCAAAACCCCAAAACCCCTTAAGTCTAAATAGATCTATTTTTTGGTAATAACTAAACTAACTAATTAATTAATTAAAAATACTTGCCAAATCAATTTATGTATTCTAGATTTATTTATCATTTTTGTTTCTTATTTTCACTTTAGATTACGATATCTTAATGTTGTAATGGATGTAAGCTTAACTTACTCCATTTACCTTAAGATTTAGCACTTCTAGAAGTTTATTTTAAATTAAACTAAGACCTAGCCTTTTATCTTTTATTAAAGCGTTAATTCAAAAATTCGAAGTCATATTCTTCCTCCTAATCTTCCACTTTTTCAAAATTAATTTGTTCCTTCTAATTAGATAATTTTTATATTTTTTCAATGCTACTGCCCTATGAATCCTCATTTTTCTACTAATTAATGCCTTAAATAATTTTTTAAGATTTTAAACTGAGTTATTATACTTGATCCAATCTTCTCTGCCTTTTTGAAGTTAAAAGAGCAGGAACTGCTTTTTATCTCATTTTCAGGTTTTAAAATGGATTAAATTTCTTGAGATCTTGAGTTTACTGATACTCAGATAATTGTGTATCATCATCCAAATTATTAATGAAAGCATTTTATGAGGAAATTGTTAATTACGAACCATTTAAAATCTTTTCATCTCTATTTTCTAGATTTCTTCCTAATTTTTTCAAGACAAACATTCTGATCTTTTTGACTAGAAGAAACAGACCATAAAATGTCTCGTAAATAACAAGTATAAAATTAAACCCTAAAATGATTGATATTATCCCCAAAATGAAATTGGCTATAAATAATGTAACTTAATATATATTCTTACAATAAAATTCTTATTACTCTGTGGTAGTAGTTAATGTAAAATTGTAGGCAATAGCAAATGCAATACCTGTGAGAGATTCATTCATGATATTTGAATAATTCATTAGTTTAGACTCGAACGGCATTGCCTATATAAAATACAGAAGATACAAGAAATTTTTGATAACGCAACTAGCAACTTAGATAATAGGAAAGTCTTTCAAAAGCACCAAAATCATTACATAAGTTAATCTTCTAAATAGAAATAATGGCATGTAGACTTAATTAATAATCTTGTTTTTTACTATTTTAGTTCCTTCATATAGTACTCCATGTTTTTAAATAACTTACTCTTTGTCCAATTCATGAGAGTTCATAGCTATTATAGTGAAAATAAGTCCAGGTAGATAGGTTAGAAACCCCATAAATATTAAAGCTATTAATGAAACAGTCAGCTTTGTTTTAGATCCATACTATAATACATAAATATTCATAAATGCACTAAGAGTCATCTCTAAATAAAGCTCAGTTAAAACTCTCCAAACAACATTGAATCTATAACTCTGCTCATACTGTTTAAGAACATCAAAATATCTATGCTTGAGAAATCGATTGCAAATCTTTAAAATCGGGTAGCCAAGAGCAAACATCGCCCACATCTACATTTTCCTAGAGTAGTTGAAGAAAAATATGGAAGATTCAAATTCATATTCCTCAAAGTTCTAACTCACAGGCTTATCATTAATCTAGTTCAAAAGCATGTACTTATAAAAGAAAGGGTCGCCAATAAAATCATCTGAAATATTTGCAAAATCTAAAAATTTCAGGTATATTATCAATATTTTTGGAAATGGAATACTCATCAAAGGCATTAAATAAATAATCTAAAGAGTATTCATGGCTATCCAGATGCTTCCAAGAGCTTAACCAATAATAATCTAGATTAAAATATTAGTTACAAGAGCTGTTATAGATGTCCGAGATGCGGTAACACCAAATTTCTTTGCTTATGCCTCAGTTTCAGGAGACACATAATCAAATCTGTTGAGGTAATAAGGTTAGCTAAGTTATTTACTTAACTTATTTCCAGTTTTTGCATCTCGAATCATAGACATATTTTTGAAGCCTATTTCTATAAGTACTTAATTAGATCCTAATACTGAAAAATATTGCTCAAAGGATAGAACCAATTACCTCTTTTCAATAAGCAATTTTGTTACTTAACCACTCATATTAAATTAAGGACTTTAATCCAACCCATATATATTAACTATTAAATCGCTCGTTTTTAAACTCTTCTTATCAATGACTACGTTGGAGTCAAACTATAAGTAAATTAATTTGTTCCTAGAACTTATTTTAATGATTTCAAAATTAGGGCCTCTAATTTGTGAGCAGATTGAGGAGCTGTTGTAAATATCAGTATAACAATTAAATCCAGCCTCAATTCGGCAATCGATACTACATCCATCAAAATTTCTTAAATTTCCATCATCGCATTCGTAAAATCCAAGATTTTACCCATCTCCACAGATTTCAGTACACACACCTCCTCCAGGTATCATTTAATTAAAACTCCAGGGCATAGAAAAGCCAATCAAATCTTCACAATAAGTGCATATTCCAGATTCATCAAAGGCGAAGCCCTCTAGGCAGGTTTTACAATTATAAGCAGACTCTTCACACTACTCACAAGGATATTCACAATTTACACACTGATTCGTTTGTTCGTTATAATAAGAGCCAAATGGACACAACTGAGTCCCACATCTAGAACCCATTTATTTGAAAGGAGGTTTGCAAGCAATACAATCATTGCTTGATGGGCCTGTGCAGCCATCACAAAACTCATGACACACTATGCAGTCTTCGATAACTTTTTCATAAAATTGAGCTGCCTGATTTGGGCATTATTAGATGCAAGTGTAGTTTTTAGCTATAAATAAGTGAGACTTATTATAACATTCTCCACAGTAGTTAAGATTATCAGATGGACATTTGCATAAATTATTTGTGCAATCTAATATTTCTCAAACAAATATTTAATATACAATGGCAAGAAGAATTTATGAAATGCATTCCATCTGGACAATCAAGACCACATTTACCATTGTAAAGGAAGTAACCTTAAACACAGGATATACAATCTTTGTTGGTGATTGCAAGTGAGCACTTTGAGCAACGAGAATGACAATCTAAAATTTTAACAATAGCAATTACCATAGCATTCATTGATTAGAGAATCATATATTTTGGCATCATTAGTATCACAATAAGAGCATTCATAATCCATTGGACCTAAACAATCATTCATCTAGCAAGATTTACTGCAATTATAAACTAAATAGCTTAGTTTGGAATATTACTTACATTCGCAGTGCTTTCCTATTCACCTCATATTAGGTTCCAAACAGAACAAAAAGTTTCTCTAGTCCTCAGAATCTGTAGATTGGTCTACTCCGATTTGAGAGTAATGTGTCCAATCAATATAAGCGAGTGCATCATCGTAGTATATTCTGTTAGAGATTTCTTATTCAAACGCTGCAGTATTGTAGAGATAACTACCTTTTGCCTCATCAAATCTATATAAAGCTACTAATGAATCTTTAAATCTTAATGGATTTGGGCCCCTGAGTGCTCTCCTCTCAGCTATTTAAATTGAGAATGCTGTGCTCCAAAGTTACATATTTCTGAAATATATTTTACTATTTACACCCGTATTAATTTAAAATGTTAGCCCGCCACTATTCGGTGCAAATTCTAATTTAACATTCGTAATTTTGCTCCCTCTAAATTATATTTGAGAGAAAGTGTCGTTTATATAAGCCGGTATTCCGATATAATTATTAATAATATCTCCAGGTAAACCAATTCTATTATAAACTAAGAACCATTAGCCCTCTTTAACAAATTTTGAATCATCTCTATTATTCACGGCTAGATAGGTATTGTTTGCTATATATAAATGAGATCTTGTATTGTTTTAGAGTATAAATTCAAATCTATTTTAAAGTTTGAATCGTAAGGCATTAATTTCAGTTCCAAAATCTTGAACTAAAGTCCATATCATCAAAGTGGAGTTCTACATCTCATTTTTTAGAATTTGAAAAGAAAATGAAGCTCCAGAAACTAATCTCAAAAACTTTTCAGACTTTTAGCAATAAAAGCTTCCTCTCTAGTATTTGGAAAATCCATCACAATAAATTACATCGGTGGAAGTCTACCAATATTGCCAATTTCCTGCAACAGAAGTTTGAATTTAGATTAAAGAATTTGAGACTTATTCATACAATTTTAAACCGAAACCATCTGTAATTCTTATCATAAATACACAAGGATAGACAGTCAAACTAGGATATATTCCTTAACGAATAAATTTCTAGTGGGTAAATGGATCCAATAACTCACTATATATTCTTATATCTCTAATCTTTAGGTTAAGACCTTATACTATGATTTATCTGACAGATGGAAGCAAATGAGATACTATAAAAGTCCCTCTTTTTAAATCGCCTGATGGAGCATTATTGACAAATATCATGTTATATCCGCTCTTTAAGTTGTATGAAACACCTTAGGCACATCCTTACCATGCATTTGGATTTAAGACAGGTAAAAATAGTCCAACTGCATCATCTGAGAAGTAGCTAACTATTTTACCAGATTGTACTGACATCCTGAAAAGATTTGCTTGAAATCTCATTAAAAAATTTGAACTAATAATGACTGATGGATCGTAAACATTTATAAGAAAACTCATTGAGAATTCAGTGCCTAATTTGAACTCTCCAAGAGTATAATCTACTGTCGGAGTTGTCTAAGGAAAAAACAATGTTTTATCTTATTGAATAGCAGGTGAGTACAACTAATTGCTATCGTATTTAGTATTTTAACTACTAAGACCATCTCTTGATTAATAATCCCAAAATATCCCTACTTAGGTTTAAGTTCCTAAATCAACAAAGCGATTAAATGTTGATAAATCAGTAAAAAGCTGATACGAAGTTTCACTTAATGGATAATAAGCAAGCAATTAGTATTAGTAATTCACTCGAGAGATTTGATTAAACATATCTATTCTTATCTCTGTAGGATCTCTTGCATGTCCAAATAATGCTATTTCTTTTATCTTTAACATAGACTTTAAATTTTATGTTCCTATATTTAGATCTGTCAAGACTTTATTGAATAGTTGATTCTTAAATACATTAAACTCACCAATAACTTTTGCATTTTAATAAACGACCCAAATAGAACCTTTCATTATAACACTCAAATGCATCCAAATATCTACACTAAATTAAAAGTCTGCCACATCTTTTGTAATGGAGTAATCAGTGAGATAAAGGACATTAGCATCGTAAATAAGTTTAAATACTCCAACTATTTCCAGAAATGTGATTACTGAGCTAGAATCAAATTATTTTACCAGAAACCAACCTTAACAAGTAAAGCTTGTTCCTATTTAGGCACCAGCGATACTTAAACTTAATGTTTTTCCAGCTAAAACCAGATTTGCTTATTCTACGCATATCCTTCCAACCTTATAAGCTCCATAAGCACAGTTTCCTTCTATTTCAACATCAATCTATGATCCAATTATTGGCACAATGTATTGATTCTCTTTCAAGTCAAAGAAATTTGATCCTGATATTTTGCCAAAAACCATCTTATTATGATCCATTCTTACACCTTCAATCATATCATATGTTCCTTTATATTAATTAGTTAACTTTTGCTAGGAAATCATTTTCGTTTGCTAATATGTAAGTGGTGGGTGAAATATGCTTAATTATCTAATTGCTAACTTCGGGAAATCATCTGATACTCCAGTTGAAGCTAATTAGACTTACCAGTCATTTACTTCGCTATATTTCAAAATAGAGTCCTTACTAAAATTTAGTTCTTCAAGTAACACATCATCAAGTATGATTTAGATTTTTTTATTTTCTAAGTCAAAGGTTATAAACCAATTTTGAGTCCTAGAAGATCCTGACAATACATTTGATAAACTAACTTTCTACCCATTTGTCTAATCAAAATTGTAAACCTAGTATCCATAAGATGTCATAAGTTGGAAGATGTTCCCTAATTTAATTATGTTATGATTAAGAGTATCTTAAATCTCTTGGAATGTGCTAACAAATAATGTAAAGGACATCTCCTTCTCTTTTATTTAAGATTGAAGAAAATCAGCTATGTCCCATTTAAATCCTGATCCAACATCATAGAATCTTCGAGCTAATTCCATTTCTATATTGTTTTTATAAAATATCAAAATACACTGGCATTTTTAGAATTATAGATCATAAACATAACCTAATGGACAGCTTAATGTAAATTCAATATCTAAAAGTTAAAAGCAATAATTTTACCTGCCATTAATTAGAAGTTTACAAGACTCTATAAGTTTTTCATTTTAGATACATGATCTTTAGAAAAATTTGGGTTAAGATTAATATTTACCAATAAAGTATTCATTATCAAGGGTATAGTACATAATTAGATCTGAATATCCATTTGTTGGTTAGGATAACATGGACAAGTACATCATAGCATCCAGAGGTAAAGCTTTACTCCAAAATTTTAAGTTTTTCATTTGAAAATACATATCGATATCATCTGCTAAACCTTTACCAATTAGTATATTGCATTTACTTAGATAACTAAATGACGGAGTAGTTTCTATAAATGATTAGTCTTTACATTAAGATATTACCAACTATATTAGTGAAATTCACAGAAGATTACAATTTAGTGTCAGAATTTATTGCTGCGAAATGATAATATACTCCTTAGGTGAATTTTTAGTAAATATTTGTATTTTTTGCAATAGAAAGATGAGCTTAATCTCAAGTTTCTATATAATATGATGTCCCAAAAGCTTATATTCCGAAATCAATGACAATTAAAGTAGCGAAAAAATCATCGCTTAAACACTATCCATCATTCTTCTAGCTTATTAAGCTTACTATATTGGTAATAGAACCAGCTTTGAATACAAACTTTAGCCAAAATTCTACACTCCATGTCTATATATTATTTTTCATATTGTCTCCTTTTAATTCGACATTTCCATTTAATTTAGGGAAAAATCTTGCCACAGGCACTGTCTACAACTTAATTTATTAGCTGAAATCATCGTAGACTTAAACTGAATCTGTTACAACAAATAAATGCTCGGCATATTGGGATATTTAATGCAGATACTTCCACCTGAAATTTTAAAATTCATGCTAAAACAATATAGGCATATGCTGTTGATTAATACTTTTATCATATAAATAATAACTATCTCCTTCATCTAACTAGTAATAAAAGATTATGGAACTCAGATCTAAGTCAGTGTAACTTCTAATTGATTACTATGAATTCATGGCATAGTTCTTCTTAATTTTCCAAAAAATAAAATATCTTAGGGCGAAATTGCATGAGTTTTGGCAAAATATTATATGATCTAATACAGAAATCATAAATTAATCAGTTTGGAACACCTCGTTTAAACCTAGATAAGCAGTAAAAAGAGTACTGCTAATTGATACTGATTCTAGAGTTAGAACAATTTTTCTCCAATAGGATTCTAGAAAAAGTTTTTTATTAACTGCACTCTATCTATCTGAAATCATACTCACTTAATTAATAGTCTACAAATTAGTATTGTAGCTACTATCCTCTTCTAATCTAACATCATTTAATATTTAATCTGTTAGCCTGATAATTTAACCAGCCTCTTAATTTTTCTGAAATAGTATCCAAAACTCTACTGTTGCTTCAGTGGTTAAAATACTAGGATTTGCAAATTTCAACCCTATGTAGCTATTTGTTTCAAGGTGTAAATATTTGTAACTTTGGCAAGACACTCCATCAAAAACTTATGTCGCCTCACAATACTTTTCAGTTTTGGCAAATGAATAGGTTGGAGAAATATACTTATTCTCTTTTTTTCCCTATTTAAACAACTGAAAGTAATAATATCTAATTTCATATCGATTTACTAACTAATAGAACAGACTAGGATAATACGCCCCATCTATGAATTTCTACTGGTTTTATACTAAAAAATTAATTGGCATAGCTTCTAGCCATATTTTAACATCTTTGACTGCTGCATTATTGCTGAGTAATTTACACAATTTTGTCCCAGGTGCTAAGTTTGTATACGTATTAAATTTTTCTCTATAGATACCATTAATATACAATTGAACTTAATTCGTTCCAGAATATTGGATAAAGGTAATCTAGATCCACTCTTCTAATCTATAAAACTTTAATTTTTAATAATCTAACTTACTAAAGATAAGAGTATTTTGAAGTAGAATAAGGACCAGGCTTTAGTAATTAGAAGTATAGTTTCCCTTCTGCTGTACTATACAAACTTATAACTGAGCTTATCCAAAATATTCCTGAGTCTAGATTAGTTTAAAGAGTACATCTTAAATCGAGTGTCCATTGATCCGAGGTAGGAAAATTAAAAGTTTCAATAGTTATAGAGGGTAGAAATTTCAACACACCATAAATTTCTGTTTATTCATATGTTTCTACAAGTATCATTATTTAAAGAATGGTCAAAGGATTTATTACTGAGGACATGATCTGTTACCATTAAAGGAATAGTATCTGGATAGCTAGTAGATGAGTGCTAATAGCAAGTTTTATCTCTAACATTTCCTTCATTACAAATTCGAAATCTAATTTAAAATTAATGTCTAGAGCAAAGTACGATCTGGTAGGAATTGTAAAGCTATAGTAAGAATACATTTTAATTTGAGTATTCAATGGACTAAATTTTAAATAATAACATAGCTAATGATCATACTTAAGATAATTGGAGTCCAATTACTGCTAGGTAAGGGCAGTTTCTGAGTAAAATGCGAAGTCTCTAATCTACATGAATGATTCTTTGTATGATCCTCTAGTTCCTCCAATTTCAATTTTATCATCAAATTGAAATGGAAAATAGGTTGAAGGAACATTTTATGTTGACATCGTAAGGTAATTACATACTATTTTGTAAGTGTTTCCATCTTTTATCATACTCAAACCTCTCCAAGCTCCAACTAAAAATTATTAATAAGCATTTCTTAAACTCGTATATTACCTAAAAAGTTGCAAATTTAATCGTTGGTCCCACTGATAGTGTTAGTAAAACCATGCAAATATAGCTCTACTTGAGCTTAATAGCTGTTACCGATATATTGATGTTTTATTCCTAATCTTATATAATCATTAGTGCTAGTTGGATTAAGCACAAAGATAAGGCTTTTGAGGCTGTTTGAAATCACTGCTTTAATATTTACATTCATTGTCAATGTAAACTGGCTAGATTATGTTATTGTACTCATAGATCCTGCAGCCAAATCTTCTATTGAAATTATATGACTAGCTTTAGAGAGGTACAAAACTTGTCTATCTATTTTAATTAGTCATTAAATTTTGTTAACCTAAATTAATCTTACTTCCACAATAGTACTAGTGATGCTAGTGATAGGCTTCAAATGGTCCTTAGCATATTAGTACTACCAATTAGTCCCAGTTCCAAACAAATAAGCTGCCACTACTTCTAATATTTACCTAAAACTCCCTTCTCTATAAATCTGCAATAAATAGACCAGAACTTTCATTAAATGGCATCAAAGAGTTGGCTATTCACTAGATGCTCCATCTATTTCTAGGATGATATGATGCTTGATTTTTAGAAAATTAAATTTCTTCTCCATAAGAAATAAAGAAGTCCCTAATTGCAAAATCTGGGTCATAGTTTGTGAAACCAGTTACATCTTATTTACCAATATATATATAATGATTTTGACTAAAGTCTACACTGTAACTAGAGGAAGTTATTATGTCCTCTTAGATAAGATAAGTATATTCAAAAAATAGAAAGGATCTTAAACTTATAGATCCTAAAGGCATTACCTTAACATACCAATAATACCACCATCCAATTTATAAATGAGTAAGAGTTGGGATCTCATAAATAAAATCCTGCCCACCAATCGTAACTATGATTTTTGTACTTACATCTACTCTCATCCTGAAAAATTGTGAGGGAGTTGATGGATATGAATTAATTAAGTCAAGATCTTATCCAGTGTTAGAGAACATTTTTTAAGACAGTCTAAAATAGAAACCTAAATGATAATTATCATTCGTTTGAGTTGATGAGTTAAACTAAGCAAATAAGAGGCTTGGAGCATTCAAGGCCTTAAGTATAGCAGAGTCTGCTTTACAGATAATTCCATTGAAGTAGTAGCCTAATTCACACTCTTATAGGTTTTCTGTTTATTTTAGTTAAACCGTTGTGATGGCCAAAGCTTGATTTATATTAATTGGATAAATGCCACTACTCCTATATGCATATCTCTTGTAGTATTCAGGATCAGAGCTGTATTTTGTGAATCTAAAATAGTCTACAAGATTCCCTTCTAAATCGTAAGGATCATATATCTTTTGTTTGTAAACATGCATGTAATTAGTTATGTCGATCTAGAAAATTTTTTTAATCAAAATACTTACAGAGGAAGTGCCATCTTTCCAAACTCTGAATTCCTATAAACAAACTCCAATTTTAATAAAACCTCTTTAAATAAAAATATACCTTGATATATCCTTGAAATAGAGTAGCAATATATACTCAATCAGGGTTAGTAGGCGTAAAATCAAGCCTTTGCTCAAGACATAAAACTTGAATGCAAACCTAAAAATATAAACAACTATATGAAAATATATTTTACATCTATGACATCATTAGAGCCAGAAATTTATCTGTAAAACAAGAAATGATTCCAACTTCCCATCACATTCGATGCATATGTAGCCTAATATTAATTTGTTTGCTTATTATAAACTTTTAAAGTCACTGAGTTTGCAATTGAAACCATAGCAGCATAATGATCAGCTAGTATGAAATCTGTTATTCTAGGAAAATACCAAAATTCTATAACAAAACTACCGCTAATGCTTGTTGGATCTAATTCCATGAAATATTGATTGTTTGTTTTTATATATTAGACATATTAAAGGCCTGTATTTATTTGTTAGCATTGATTGACTTGGGGACTTTTGGTATAATTGAAAGGACAAGAAACCGGATAAGTTGAATCAGAAATATACTCTAGTAATTCTGATTATTGCATAAACTAAGGATTAATTGAAGTATCCTCAAGAATTTTTTTATTATGTAAAGGCTTTAATTTCCAATATCCTACTAATAAGGGGCTTTTGAATTTATTCATATCTGTGTAAGCATATTTAAGAATTTCATCTATTTCTCTGGAAGCTCTCCATATCCTTATTTCTGAAATACAAAAGTATATTGAGGTTGCAGAATTCTTTGGAATCTTTAATGCCCCATTAAATTGAAAGTCACCTATATTTATATTAAACTGTTTAAAATTCTTACTATAAGGCCAAGAGGTCAGTGTCTTCTCTATCTAATTAAAATGAATGCCTGCTCTCACTCTTTTTCTGGGAATTACAATATCCACATAAATATGCTTCCAAACAATTGTATTCAAGTAGATATTTGCCACTGTAGATAGAAATACACTATCCCCTGTATTAAGGAAAGTACTTGAGTATAATGCTAATTTGATCGAGGCAGAAGTATCCGCAATTATTTGGAAATTTTAGGGATTAGGGTCTTCATCCTATATCAGAGTGTATTTCGTACTGCCGGGATTCACATGCAATCTCACCCAGAATTCAAAGTTTAATTGTCTAAAGGTAATTGGATATAGAGGCCTTCCAATAGATATAGCATTTGTTCCTTTATTAGTCAATACCTAAAGTGAAATTGAAGGGGAAAAATTTTTAGTACTTGATATAAGGATGGCTAATCCATCATGGCTTCCTATATTTACAAAGACATATCATCATCGGACCAGAAAGTGGTAAGAAAGTACTACCTTGAATGTCTAGCTAAAAGTGAATAGTCATATTAAATTGCAGCATTCATCTATCTTTGGAACTTGTAATAGCGAACCATTTAAACCTTTTAGACTTTGACATCTCCTATTCTAATAAAGCTGAATATCTCTAAATGTTTTTACTATCTCATGACTTGAGCAATCTCAGAATCACTTAGAGCAATCTTGTAAAGTGTGAAATCTCTCATGTGATTTATGCACTTGTTTGAAGCCTAAATAATGACTTATAAATATATAATTATTACCGCTGCATGCCCTATTACAAATGCTGGAAGCATATCCTATTTAGTAAGCATAAATAATAAATTTTACTCTAGTGGGGTCGGCTATCCATTTTCCTGCAGTGGTATAATCCAAAGCACATTTAGATTTAAGATTAATGAAAAAAGTAAATTTAAGCTCACTCTTTCAAGCAGTAATAAACTGCCAAAGATTGAGGTAAGGATCAGCCTATTAACAAAGTGCTGTGGTATCAGCTCCTTAGACTAAGAACTACATTTTTCCTGTATATACGGCAGTATTTACAGAAAGCATGCTGCCTAGAGTTATTAAGTTCTATGCTGAATCAAAATTATAGGGCTTCCACCATAGGTTCATTGTGAAAACCATATTATCGATACCGAAATCATCCTAGCTATAAGGGTAGATATTATTGATGTAACTATCTCCTTTATTTATGTAAAAATCAATTTTCTAAGCATCTATGAAAGTATAAGATAATTTCAAGCATAAAATTACAAATAATGCTCGTGAGTAAAAAAAGACAAAACAGTGACATGAAATATCCTTAATTGCTTTTTAAAAATAATAATTGACAAAACATTGATAAAATTTTATATTTTTGAGTAAATAATCTCTATTCTCAAATTTTTATAACTTTGGATTTACGGGGTTTTGGGGTTTTGGGGTTTTGGGG